TGATTGGAATACAATGTGGTTTCATAACATAATTATTTTGGTAAAATGTTATCATATATTTAAAAATCTATGTGAATAATAAGTATAATATTAAAATCTATATTGTTTCATCAATTAAAATAAATTTATTTTTGTACAAACTGTCCAAATAAAAAAAAATTAAGTAGTTGAGTAATTTATTAAACTATAAATAATTGACTATTCTATTTACGTCCAACTTAATATTGACCACTAAGTTATGATTAATTACTTATTTGGATTTTAAATTTGGAACCCAAATTTGGACTACACAATAAATCACCTTATAAATTATATATATATATATATATAATATATATATATATATATATATATATATATATATATATATTATACTAATCTCGAAATTTTCTAGATTTGCTGTCGATTACCTTGTTGTTCAAATTTATGAACTAATTCTCTAAGATTAAATCACGAACTTTAAATTTTATTAACAAATATTTGTTCAAGGATATTTCTAATTTTCAAGAGTAATACATAACAATTTGCCGAATTATCATAATACCTTATGGCAAGTTATTATGAGAGTATGCTAAAAATTGATAATCATATTATCTTGATTTTATAACAAATCAACCTAAAATTCGACTTTCATACCCATACCAAATAAAATTCATACCACTTATGTTTTTTTTCAAAATTTTCAAATACACTTCTATCCATACCATTTAAATTTGGACATTTCATACCAAAGTAAAATCGCACACTTTATACCTTAAATTCATACATTTATTAATAACAACACATTTCTTATCAAAAATAAAAATGTTCATCAGATATCTTAAATAAAATAGTCCACTTTATACCAAAACAAGATTTATTAATTTTGACAACTTTATGCCATAAATCGATTAATTAATTTCTATTGGCGGAATTTTTAAAATTTTTTTAAAAAAGATCATCAAGTTTATTAATTTTAATTTTGTAGACGGAATTTTAATTTTTATTTCAAATAAATACAAACCTTTTAATCTATATATAGATTACTCATGGTACTATTTCCATGATAATCTTGATTACTTAAAACTAAAGAAATATACACTTTAAAACTGAAGTAAAACTGATTAGATTGAATTGTTATAAGGACCAAAACAATTAAACAAATAAACCTAATGAGCGAAACTGGTACTTTCCCCACGGTCTGTTAAAGCTTAAAATGAGATTTTATTAGTGGCGTATTACGTATACAATCGTTAAATTCATTTTTATCTATTCAAATCATGGTATTTTCAATAGATTATTTACCTACTTTGCATGAAATTAAGGCCACCAGAAGTTCGAAGATAAATCACTTCATAAAAGAATAAATATGAACCATAGAAAGTTACGTGAATTGGATGATCCGTAAGTTGTCTGGACAATGAAGATGCACTATTTAAGCAATAATTAAAGATACACAAAATTCTCAAAACTCCACATTTTAACAAGTGATCATTCCTGGTTTTATATAAGGTAATTTCTTCGCCTGATCAGTCTATGGTGTCGTGATATTGTGTGTCAAAATATGGTCTTTTGGAGAAATCTAGGATATACTTTTATTTATGCCTTTTGTTGATAATTTAACATTATATATAAAACATTTGATTGGACATTAATTATAAGTATAATTTAATATATTATTTATTTATTATTAATTTTAATATTTAAATATGTCAAATGTTAAATTGCAACTTGTACTCAACTAATTAAGGCACCTAACAAACAAGGCCACCTTCTTTTTTATTTGACAAAACTAGACAAGTTATTAAATTATGCACTTTGTACACAATCTCTAATGAGTTGGCTGGAGTAATTGTTGATGAAAGCATGTTGGCACTTATGTGGACAGATGACGTGCCATTTTAATTGCGGAAAAAAAAAATTCCAGGTAAATATTGAAACATGGTAAACTATGGTAAATATTAAAAATATAGCAACAATAAAAATATTAAACAATTTATAAACAATGAGAGCTGTAAGGGAGAATTTCATGGAAAGCTCTTGATTTTACATATATATTGTGTCAAACTAAGACTCACATTTTATAAATTTTCAATTCGAGGCTTTATTTTAAAAAATTTCTCAACTAGGGGCTTGTATTTTGAAAATGATTCTAGAAATAAGTCTNTTTATTAGATTTACAATAAAATAAAAATTAAAACATGACATAAAAGGATGAAGCTTCATTGTTCATATTTAAATTATTTTTATTAATACAACATTTTCAATCAATAAAAAAAAAAATAGCAATTAGAAAAAATAACAATAAAGGTTGAGAATTCAATTGGATCTTATCTTGTGAATGATTTAATAGTTTGAGAAAAATCCATAAGGTCAAGCTCTTAGTAGTTGTGTTAAATCAATATTTTTAGTTATGTTGACGCCGTAGGAACTATTTTGCAAGTTAAATTTAGAATTTTAATCGTTATTTTGTTTACATTATAATTCAGTTATTATGAGTTAATTATGAGTTTTTGATTTATTTTAGACAAGGATCCAAAAATATGAAGTGATGAATCTAGAAGTTAGCATAGTTTTTTTTTCTTCCCCATTCATAAAGACTTATTTTGAGAATTATTTTCAAAATACAAGCCCCTTTGAGAAAATATGTAACATTAAGCCCCGAACTGACAATTTAATAAATTTTAGTCTTAGCTTGACACAATAGGTAAAATCTAGGTTTTTTTTTTTTTCATGAAATTCTCTCTGTAATTACCAAATTTTTTCACCAGAAATCTATATTTCAAAATTTTGCTAATCAATTCTTACATTATTTATTTAATTTATATATTATTTCTTTTTTGAAATATTTAATTCATATATTAGTTATTATAAATATGTATTCTCTTTATTTTTAAAACCTTATAACTTTTTTATTTATATTTTATTTTTTATATATGATCTATCAAAATAATCATATTTTAACAATCTTTGATTCTACATTCATATTGCATATATAAAATAAAAATAATGTCATCTATATTTATAAATAAAATTAGTTTTATTATTAACTCAGTTTAAAATACATCAAATAACAATATAAATAATTTTATAAAAATAATAAAAATCTAATTCATTAATACACCATAAAATAATCATTTTATTATTTTTCCGATAAATTTTGAAAAAAATGAAATTAAGTATTACATAAAATAAATTTTAAGAAATATTACCCAATATATTTTTCAATTTAAATAGATTATAAAAAAATTGAACGTTTTTATGTTATTTAAAATATTAAATATAAAAGAATATCATAGTTAGATATAATAAAAATAATTTCGTATTTCATAAACATAGAAAATAATACATGTCTACGTAAATTCTAAATGATAAATTATATGAGTTTAAAATACTTGAAAATTAATAGACGTGAGACACTGACTCTATAAATATAAAATATAATCACAATACAACAAAACTTGTTTTGTTTAAAAAAAAACAAATCATATCTATCGAGTTGTAAATAATATCAGCTTTATATATATAATTTTAAAAATATATTTTCTGACAAAGTGTAATAATACGGGCATCATTTGAATTAAGTATCATTTTGTTAGTTTTTTATTATTGTTGCATATTCATCATTTATAATTGCATAATAAAAATATAAATTATTTTAATTTTTATTGTACAAATATTAATATTTAAGTACTCATGCAGAACACGTGCACTGTACTAGTACTAACACTAAATCTCTATTTCTCACAGAATATCAAGTACATTCACACCATGGTTGCACACTTGTTACATCTATTATTCTGTGCACTCATTGTGCTCAATATTGGAGTCTATGGCCACAACAGTGTGTCGGTCAACGTTACGGTTACCATCCTTGCAGATGCTGTGACAAAAGGGGCAGGTGAGATTATTATATATATAACAAGATGAAATTAGACATGTTTTCTATTATGATCAATAAATTATTATTCTTATTATTATTACTAGTGCGTAGTCCGTACGATGCACGGGTAAACAATATTAAATGTTAGTTATAAATTAAAGATGTAAATAAATAATAATATGGGTTAACACGTGATATAATTTACAAATAATGCTAAGGAGCCAACAGTCGAGCATATTTTATTGTAAATAATATAAAATTATCTTGTATAAAAGAACATAAAACATGTATTTGGATACACGCAATTAGTTTTTTTACCGTTAGCAAAAAGACGTGAGTTCAAGTACACGCCGAGCATATTTCCCAAAAAGATGTGAGTGCAACATAGTTTGAAAATTAGTTTTTTTACTATTTGCAAGTACACGTCGAGCAAGCATAATAAATATTTAGATACCAGAATTATGATACAAAAACACGTCACGTGAGTACAAAATGTATTGAAAATTAGTTTTTTTTTTTTTATGTTTTAGTAATTTATGCATAATAAATATTTAGATACCCGAATTATCATTAAAAATAACCTACAAAATATTTTTCATTAAAAAAGACGTACAAAATATTTTAAAAATCTATGGCCGAACTACTTATTCAATTAAAAAATTATCTTTTTTTTCTTAGCTATCCACGCCTAGATTTATTTTTATGGGTTGGAATTATAAAATAATTATTAAGATTATGTTAAGGATAAGCATCACAAAATTCTGTACAAACTATTTTTAAAAACATGGTTAGTACGCTGGCGAGATTCATGCAGTTGACCTAACAAATTGAGTATTGCATTTAATGCTCCATCTTTTATTTCTATTTATAATATACAATTAATTTTTTTTTTTGCAGGAATTACTTTTTAAATGTAGTAAATAGTAATTCTTATTATATATATATATATAGATTATTATTATTATTATTATTAAGTACAAATTTCGAAAGCCAATTGTGGTCAGAGTTAAAATTTCGTCCGACCTTATGAGTTTTAGTGACATAACCATATTTCTGCTCATTTTACCTAAGATTACTATTTACTAATGAAGATTAATTTATTTATTTTCTAATATATTTATCTATTTATATTGCAGTTTGCTTAGATGGCAGCCCTGCAGGTTACCACTTTTTTGAGGGATTTGGAAATGGTGCCAGTAGTTGGCTCATTTATCTTCCGGTGCATTTTCAGCGCAATCTATCTTACTTTATTATTGTTTGTTTTCCAATAAAAAATGTCAATTATGTATTAATATTTAATAATATTACTAGTAAAAAAACTAATTATGCAACAAAAAGTGAAAAAGAAATAAAATTCTTATTGTGAAATAATAAACTACAGATAATTAATAAGAATGTATTTTTTTTAATATTAGACGATTCTAGAAAATGTATTTCTGAAGTATCACTTGTTTTATTTAATATATATTCTTATTTTTTAACATAATGAAATCGAATAATTAATTTATTCACTAGTTAATATAATTCCGTGAACAACATAGGTGCTTGAACACTAAATATTTGTATCAAAATAAAGAAGTTAAGAATATAAAATAAATATGCAACTAATAATTAAAATAAATAACAAAAGTAATTATTTAAAATAATATGCATGTTTAACAATGATGGCCTCCGACATCCAGACTTGTTGAAAAATCCACAAATTACGAGACTTCTACAGCCACTAAAGTACATACGTGAAAAGTTATATGCGGGCTTCCGGAGTTGGAGTATTTTATGGTGTATTAATAAATTATATTTTTATTATTTTTATAAAATAATTTATATTGTTATTTAATGTATTTTAAATTGAATTGATAATAAATTAATTTTATATATTCAATATGAATGTCAAATTGAAGATCGATAAAGTATGACTATTTTCGTAGATCATATACAAAAAATAAAATACAAATAAAAAAATTATAAAGTTTTAAAAATAAAAAGTATACATTAATAACTAATATATGAATTAAATAATAAAGGTAATAGTAGTATATGGTAACTTAAAAAAAATGGAAGCTAAAATAGTTTATGATAATTCTCAAGCCTAATAATTAAAACCAAACTTGAACATGTGTCAATACGAACCACCAATTTATGTCAAATAAGCTTACGAAGCACACGAATCTGTCACTTAGTCAGCGTATTCGGGAATTATATATTGGAGAATAAGTCCACATATGGGCCAGGACACATGGCATAATGGGTATGGGTCAAGCCCAACTTGTGCACTAAAGTAATCTCCCTCTATAAAAAGGGGCTAAGGTATTCTAAAACCTCATTCTATCTACATTCATTACTACACTCTTATTTTGCACTCTTAATTTGGAGGGAGTGTTGACTTAGGCATCGGAGGCCTGACGCCGGAACCCTCCCGGCATTGGGTTCTTGCTAGTTCGGAGGCCGTCCGAGTAAAGTACATTTCACCACCAGGAGCGATTATAGGGAACTTCAATTGTAAAAGAAAAGAAAGATAGAGAACCGAAATGGCTCCCATATGTAGAGAGGGGATGACAATAGTGTTCTCATTTTTTCTCCTCGGTGGCTCGAACTCATGACCTATCGATCATACATAAAACATCCTACCACTCAATTTGTGTTTCGTTGTCACATAAATCCCTTACTTTAGGAATAGGTTTAAGAGCATGTTTGGATATAAAAAATTTCATTTCATACTCAATTCAATTTAATATCTAACTCACTTTTACTATCTTTAATATTATTAATATAATTAAATAATATTAATCAATCATTCTTATACGTCGTCGCAGCAACTTTATTTCAACATTCATCAAATCACATAATTTTAACTAATTATCACATCACATCACATCACATCTCTCCTACTTTTATTTCAAATCAAGTTAAATTATTATTTTTTAGATATTATTTTAACATAAGCTAAAAATATCACTAACTAATTGTATTACATTTTTCCAAATTAAGCCTGATTAAAAAAAATAAAAAATAAAAAAACCATTTTGATCGAAAAGTTTTGTATACAAGCATGAGAGAGTGTTGGAGGAAATAAAATAAAATAAAATAAAAACCCATTGAGTAGAAACAATTCTTTAGCCACGACAAAACTTGGACTCACCAACAGCAAACACACGGTGAGGCCTGAACTCAGAAGACCATACACATATTTTGTTCAAATGTCAATACTTCACATCAAATCTAAGCATATGATCAGATAACAGATTCTTTTCGCATCAAAAATAAGAAGATGACAAACTCTTGAGCTAATGTATCACTCATAACCAAAACCCATCCAGCCCCAGGAGAGAGAGAGAGATCTTGACCATATCCTACTGAAAACAATCACAGAGAGAGAGAGATCTTGGGCCATATCCTACCGAAAATAATCAGAGACAATAACTACCAACGCCTTGTTGGCACTTTGGGCCCCGGTGCTACGGTCTTCTTGGGCTTGGGCTTCTCGACAACAATAGCTTGTGTTGTGAGCACCATACCAGCAACCGAGGCCGCATTTTGCAAGGCACATCTCGTCACCTTAGGTGGGTCGATCACACCCACCTCAACCAGATTCCCGTAAGAATCGTTCATTGCATTGTAACCAAACTCCCATGCGTTGCCCTTCACTTTCTCCATAACTACTTCTACCTCTGTAGTTGCTAGGTTAGTTTTCTATAGTTGCTAGGTTAGTTCTATGTAATTGTTAGGCTAGTAGTAGCTAGATTAGTTATTTGTAGTTGCTAGGTTAGTTCTCTGTAGTTGGTAAGTTATTCTCTGTAGTTGCTAAGAATTGTCCGCATTTTAAAGGTTGTCCGCATTTTAAAAGCTGTCCACATTTGATCCGCCCATATATATGTATATATACCATTTAATTTGGGGGGAATTTTAAAGCCTTCTTCGAAATATAAATTTGATTAAAATTTGGAATTTTGAATGCAGGGAGGAGGATGGTGCAGCTCAAAGGAAAACTGCCAAGATAGAGCACTAACACCTATTGGGAGCACCATTAACATTACTACACATGAATTTGCTGGGATATTAGGCCCAAATCAAATCATGAATCCTGGTAAGTATTATAGACAATTACAATTAAAGTAATTAAGTAATATTATGACATTTCATTAAAGCTAATTTTTTATGAAAAAATCAATATACATTGTGTTGCTTGTTGTTTTATTAGATTTTTACAACTGGAATAAAGTTTACGTCCGATATTGCGATGGCTCGTCGTTTATAGGTGATGTCGAAGCAATTGAGCCGGTGAGCAGCTTAATTTAGTGAAATCTAATCTCTTGTTTTTTGAGAATGGTTTGGAACAAATAAAGGTTTTAGATTATTATGAATGAAAAACTAGTAAGTTGAGATTATTATAATGGCCTAGGCTTATGATATCATCCAGAATTTATATATATATATTATCCCCAACTTTTCTACTTCTTTCTGTTTTTAGTTATATTTCCCTAATATGACTCTTAATACTTTATATACAATATTGGCATTATATTCAGGGAACCAACCTCCATTATAGAGGTTCAAGGATTTTTAGTGCAGTAATAGAAGAAATACTAGCGAAGGGAATGAAAAATGCAGAAAATGTAAGCCTATTTTATAAGTAATTAATTATTTCTTATGAGAAGCTAATAGTATGTTATATACTCATATAG